GATTGAATCACAAAAACTTTATCCTTATCCTTATTTGGACCGATGCACAAACACTAATCATCCGTTCGGTCGTAGATAGGGGTCTTTGAATACAGTAACCTGCAGAAGCCATCTAATAATTTTGGAAACCTAATTTCGAGCTGTCCCCATGCCCATATCACACTATAACCGAAAGTTACCCCAATCGAGGCTTATGCAGATTTACCCATGACGATCGGATTGGTGCCGAAATGCAATTTTCACACAATGAAGCTCTCAGCCTGATTGAATAGAGGATTTTTGCTCAGCTGAAGAACAACTGGACTAGCTAGCAATCTTCAAAGCTCGGAAAAGCACCTATAGCTATCTGTTGAGCCGCTTTTTTGAAAGGAAAGATAAAAAATCTAACCAGGCCCATGAGTATAAAATGCCCATGGTTAGGACAACTTTAGCAAACAATTGAAGATAAATTAATAAAATACACTCTGTTGCTCCAAAGATAGACTCGATTTGGATGAACGATACCCACATCACTACGAACTCTTTGATTTCCAGCTGCAAGAAGACTTCCAAAAACAGTTGTTCATGACAGTTCAACTGCCGTACTACCCTTTCAACCCTTCATACCACACTTCTAAACTATTCGTAAACATCGGTAAGAGGATAAAAGGAAGAGAAGCAGAACAGCCGCAAAGAGGCAGTTTCTGAAGACGAGCGCGACCACTTTTATAGCTCGACATTCCCATGAGTATAAAATGCCCATGGTTAGGACAACTTTAGCAAACAATTGAAGATAAATTAATAAAATACACTCTGTTGCTCCAAAGATAGACTCGATTTGGATGAACGATACCCACATCACTACGAACTCTTTGATTTCCAGCTTCAAGAAGACTTCCAAAAACAGTTGTTCATGACAGTTCAACTGCCGTACTACCCTTTCAAACCTTTACACCACACTTCTAAACTATTCGTAAACATCGGTAAGAGGACAAAAGGAAGAGAAGCTGAACAGCCGCAAAGAGGCAGTTTCTGAAGACGAGCGCGACCACTTTTATAGCTCGACATTCAGCGGTGAGGGAAAAACTCGTCCTGGCAGTTGTCCAAAGGGGTACGAGGAATGTCATAAGCTGGTTCTCCTACGATCACTCGAGCCATCATTTGCCGTTCTTCGTAGGAACATGTGTATAGGTAACAAGATGAGGTTTAGCTGAGAAATTTCAGTGAACTAATGGAAACGTAGGTTTCATTAGAATGATCGTGAGGCGCACTGTGGCCCAAGCTCGGCGCAAAGACATTCCTGGAATATCCTCTCGAGGATAGCATTGAAAATGGCATATTCAAGGGCTGTTTAACAATACTGGCCGCTCATCAGAAGACGGTATGGATAAGTGGGCGGCAAAGACATTCCTGGAATATCCTCTCGAGGATAGCATTGAAAATGGCAAATTCAAGGGCTGTTTAACAATACTGGCCGCTCATCAGAAGACGGTATGGATAAGTGGGCGGTGCGTGCGTAAAAGTGGGCGGCGCTCATCTTGGCTGCAGGGCAATCTGAAGGTTTGAAAGTGAACCTAATTAAAAACATTGCGATCAAGTTCCGCAGTAAATGCATAGGTAAGGAGTACGGTAAAATCACTCACAATTTTCAGATAATAGAAGACAGAGAACTATATCCCGTTCGAGGAAACTTTAAGATTTTAGGATAATTTCCAAAGTGATAGCGACAGGTGATAGGAACACTAACGACGTGATATCTATATAAGTACTGAAAGGTAGTCGTAAACAATTACACAACAATTAAGGGTTGCTGATGGAGAGAAAGAGCCGCACCCCTATTCGAACAGCGACCACACCCATACCCTTGAAATTCTACGGTTGATCGGGAGAATGCTGAACCTACCTACCACCTGGGTGGAAATGGTGACAAAGAAGAGAACAACACAACGATTACCGAATGACTCACCGGTGGAGGACATGTTTGGGCGAGAGCGGTAGCGTCGAGTCGAGTTTTGGCGAACAATTTCTGGAAGAACCCTCGTTTTGGTCGTGTGACAACCGTTGGCGATACGCCCGATTGGCGATTGCCCATCGCCGACGAGAGACACTGAAATCGATTGGCAAAATAATCAATAGCGAAGATGACGAAAAAATCGATACTAGAAATACTTTCAAGCCGAGGAAATCTCAAAGTGCTATAAATTATAAAGCTGTTAAACGATACCGTGGTAAAGTAATGATAAAAATAGTTCGGGCAGGAACAGCTGGTATCTCTTAAAACAATATCTTGTAGTCACTGCCTTTGGAGATAATATTGATTTTATTGATTGATTGATTGATTAGATGAATCAGGAAATCAGATGGAAGTGGAAAAAACATGGCACTGTCCATTACCGAAAGTCGATAGAAGAGTTGGTAAAAGTGAAATGAAAGGAGGAAATACCAGAAATCTATTAGGAAATCAGGAAAGCCCGAGTTCACTAAAGGGCACTGCCTGAGGTAAGTCAAGGTAACACAGAGTATAGGCAAAAACAAAGCAGTATAAGAAATAAGGACTTTCCTGGATTGCTGTAGAACCTTAATCAGTTCATTAAAGGCACTGGATCAAATACTTGAATTTTCTTAATTTTGGCAACTTGTGGGCAAAACTTCAACCTTGAAAATTAGCAGGAATCCGAGTTTTCGTCCATAAGTCTCTCTCAGCATTAATGTCGCATGCATTCAATGAAATCATGACAAGGCAAATACGTGGCGCAATCCGACTAATATCTGGCAAAAGAATCATCTCCACCTCCTTAACTACTACATTATCTACCTGGAAGGAAGAATGGATGATAAGCTTGATCTGAAAATTGGAAAACAAATTTTCGGATATTTCCCAAGATGAGTTAACAAAATATGGAACTCAGGTGTTAGGGATTCTGAGGCGATACAACGGTACGAAACTGGAAATACCAGTAGCACTGGGAAGTAAGACTTTCCCTCCCACATTTTCGACCCATCCAAGGGAACTTCACTTCCCTATGAGTAATCCATGAAGAAACCATGACGAAGACGGTGATGGAACTTGATGGGCAAATCTTCACAGATTCTGAATTTGGAGGTGGGTTTAACACCGGGGGAACAGGGAAAATGAGAAAAAAGTGATGAACATGGAGGAAATGGAGTACAGCGGAAGGAAGACAAACCGGTCAAGGAAATGAACGATAAATCTATTGAAGGAAAAACTTGAAAATTGATTTATAACCGTGAAAAGCGATGGAGCATGGAAAATTTCATTTCGACGACAGAACAGGGCCAACGAATTGGCAAAGGCGTAGATGAAAAGGAGAGGAAAAACGGATGGGCGTGGAGATCTTATCGAAAGGTACACTACCGCAGCGAAACAACGAAAGACTGGTTTGAACGAAGTAGAAAAGGATGGGTAGTTTTTTCTGCTTTTGGTTTGAGAGATAGAATTGGCAGGGGATTGCGCCATGCACACGGCTTGTATTGGAAAATGACAAATAATCTCAGTAACAAGAACTGGAAAGCCACTCTGTCGGGACGAGCAGCTACTAATGAAGAATGTGAAGCTTGGAAAAGACATGGGATAAGTAGAAAATTGGCGGTATCGTAAAGAAAGCAATAAAAGGAGAAAAAGAGAAGCATATGACCTTCGTAATGACTTGAGCAAAGCGTACTAATGAAAGGATATGACAAAGGACGATATAAAACGAAATGTGTGCAGTAACAAATGTCCACAGCCGACCACTAAGATCTCAGGAGAAGCGAGACTGCCCCGATCACTACCAAGAAGCGTTTTTCGATGAGAATTGTGTAAATTGTGGCAAGGGAAGTGTCGCCTTCAAGGTCAAGCGTAGGGTCGTATTCGACATCCTCACGAGAAAGGCAATCGTATCAAAGCTGAGTAATAAAAGGCAGTTGAAGGGTCATAAACTGCCGAGTTCAACACCACTCTTACCACCATGAGACATACCCCATGATTCTTGTTTTTGAGTACGAACTGGCACTCCTAATTCATTTCTAGTTCCATTTTTTGACTAATGTGATCAAGTTCAATCGCAAGAGAATACCTATCGTAATACAATGGAGTAGAGAACCGTAATGAAGCTGAGTAAGAATGGAGCCGCATAAGAGCTGACTATCAGAAGGGCATAAGGATCATAAACGCAGAGTTCAATGTCACCCTTGCCACCATAAAACCCAATTTTATGATTCTCTTTCTTTGGTCCAACGTACCGTTAAGACGTTACATCAGACTAAAGAAAGAGAATCACAACGTCTCCGGACGTTGATCAATCCCGTCTGAGGGATGCGCACTGCACTCAACTTCAGAATCGTAGTGGTGTATGGTCTATACATACATTTGCAATGACTTACGGAAGCTAGACAATGTACAGGTCAGTGCTTTGATTTCAACAAACGAGTTTGGTGCTATTATCCAACCCTGGAAGGATAGAAGGCGGACACTGGTCCGGGATTCGAACTCGTGACCGTGCGTGCGTGATAACGCGTCACTTGCCTAACAGAATGCATGTCGTAATACCGTAATACAATATAGAATACCGTATCAAAACCGAGTAAGAATGGAATCGCATCGATGCAGGGTAATAAACTAGCTCGAGGGCCGAGGCACGTAGTGAGAAATGTTCAGCGTAACCCATGTGAACTAGGCATAGATCTCTCATGATCCTTTGCTCCAGATTGTAGTTTGATTTTTTAATTTATTTTTGATCCGTTCGAACAAGTTACGACAAATTTGCCAAAAAAACAGTTCTACTAAATACCGGAGCCAGCCTTTCCTCTTTACCATCCTTCCGCTATGTACAAGGCGAGAGAGGATAGGAACGCGTTTTTGAAATAAGTTTCAGAAGGAACGTATAATCGGCTCAATATTATATTCCAAAGAGGAAAACGTTTCTTTGTAAAGCAGCTTTTTGTTTGACGAAGAGAGACATGCAAAAAGTTAACCAGGTGACTTTTTCCCAATGGATGCCGCTGTAATTATATATATCACTTTCCCTGCGATAACGTCATATGCACTTTTTTGAAGTGCAATTCCAGCACATTAATTTATTTCGTCGTAATAAGTCTTTTCACACCCTCACATCCTTAATTTTTAAAACTGAGACTTCCCAAATACTCCATGTAATTCCTCAATCGGCAGCACGTGGGGAGGAAAATGCAATGTGTTTGCTGAAGTGTTACGAGAAAAAAAGGGAAGACATGCAACCTGGGAACACATTCATGTTCCCAGGTTGTCTGTCCCCTTTTTCCTCGTAAGCCATCAGCAAACAGCCATCGCACTTTACCTAAGCAGCAAGAAAAGCTCGAAAGAGAACAGATGAGCTCTCATAACATTGAATACTCGTCATAGTGTTCGATAAAAACTAAACCCTGCTACTCCACTGAAGGGGAACCATTAAGAGCTTCTACGTCATGTATGCCTGCCATAATATCAGCCAGATTTACACTAATTATTATACATTGATGTAAAAAAAATTGTGTCTATTATATTAGCGTACATTAACAGTGGGCAGAAGTGATGGCACTATACATTCACGGGTTCATGGCATGACCACAGGTTCGAATCCCGGCTCGAACGCAGATCTAACCAAGCCTTCCATTTCTAATGGGTCGGTCAATAGGTACTCAACTAGTCTGTGGGGATAAAAACCCGTAACTTGAATACCGGCTGATAATCGCAAGTCGTTGTAGAGGCCCCATACGCATTCAAACATCACTACGATTCTGAACAGACGTCGGATGTGGGGGGCGCGTCCCAGAAGCATGTTTGGTTAACATCAAACCTTTTATTTTTGTCTTATGAGAACTCAAAAGTTTGTATGAGTGGTGAGATAGCGCTGAGAGTCTCTTAATGGAAGAACTGTGATTGAGGAACAGCAACAAGGTGGGCAACACTCGAGTGTGCCTGTCGTGACCAACAAGTCGAGTGCTCAGT